CAACTTCGAAGCACCCCAAGCTGAACAACTGGATTGTGCAATCCGGAATTGAGAAGATATTCGTCGAAGTCGAAGGTGTCGTTTGATGGGTACGTAAAGCGGGGTCTTACCGACATCGACTGTGTCCGCTCGAAAGTGCAGTCAACATGGCAGGGCAGGGAATGATTGCCTGTACTGGTATATCAGCTATTGGTCTTCCCGATAAGTGGGGGAGGACAAGACTTGTTGTCATGGCCAGAATTGTCGCCACGACTATTGCAGACTCATGGTGTCAAGTGTGTTGGTGCTAGACTTAGGCAAGCAACTTCGGCGCCACGATGGCCTGTACAAGTAATGTCGTCAGCAATGGTCAGACACCACCGGCTTTATTGTACAGGACAGTGGCGACGAGCGAGCGCTTTGAGTTGAGCAGCTACCTCCAACCCGAGCCTTACGAAGGCGGCGAAATAGCCAAAGATCAACCAGGGGCGGAGCCATTATATACCTTGTGCGTTGTGGTCATTAGTGTTATGTCTCGAGCCCTTCGAAAGTCACGTCCTCATCGCTGGAGAAAGGATAAAGTTCAATTCTCCTTGAAGCTATCAGTCTGCTCCGCGGCAAGCTCGAAACTATCACCACCATACAATCAGGAGTTGCGTAGTAATGTGACAGGCCCAAGGACATGAGAAGTATGTTACACAGCGAAGATTGCAGAGGCTGAGAGTGTCGTGGAGTTGGTGGGGGGAGGTGGAAGACAGTCAATAAGTCTCACCTTCATGGAACTCACCAGCTTTATGACGCACGGGCCACCACAACTGAGAATGTGTCTTGCAGAAGGAGCTCAACGAAGAAATGAAGAAAGCACAGTCAATGGCAGCTGTCAATAGGGCATGCTATCGCTGCGAGATGACAAGACGGGCTCAGACGGACGCAGTACGCTATCCAGCGTTGAGTTTGCAGCAGCAAACATCGTGAACGCTTCCTAGATGGCAATAGCAGGGCCTCTTAGAGCCCGAACTCTGAGTGCCTCTCAAACACATGCAGAAACGACGGTCTAGCTCGAAGAGATGACTGCTGCAATCTGGTTTAACTTCACGAGCACGACGGAAGTGACATGACAGCAGGCTACCTAGGTAGCAGCTGCATGCGCGCTTTGGTTGTCTAAGACCGGGTGAACCCAAAGCACTCCAGTGCACCCTGACCCCCAAGACAAACTTGTCTTGAACGATGGGCGAAAGAGAGTCAACTTTCGTACCCGTTAGAAAAGGGTACGGGAGCTCTCTTAGCGAATCTCTACGCCATGAAAAGAATGCATGTCCAAAGAGAGGTTCCGCCACCGCTATCTCCCGATCGGTTCGTCTTGATGCTGCATCCTCGACAATCCTGCATCGTGGATACAGACGACTTAACAGAACACCGACAGCGGAATATCACGGGCGAAGCATACTGGATGTCTTGGTATGACCTACGGCACATGATTCTTGGTATCTGCCGCATCTCGCTAGATCGAGTCGTCTGCACAAGTGGTTATCTTACCATGCTTTAGGAGTGCCACACAGCTCCATGTGACATGACTTTGGAATATGCACGAGTAGCTAAAACTGAAGTGTGTCCGGCATCATTCTGATGCTACGGTTCGCACGCATTTCAAAGCTCGCGATACGGCATATCGCTAGCTGTAATGCCGTCCGACAAGGTAAGACTCTACGATTGGCTCACCTACATATGTCATGCTTCAGCCTCGTACCAGCCCATCATCCCGTCCTGCTGTCTATGGCATTTCCAATACATGCTGCATCTCATCCCCTCGTTTCCACTTCCCTCAACTCCTCCGCATACAGCTATGCCTTCCACGCTTCCTGTCTTCGTAGTGCCTTGCTCTTATTCCTTTCATCAAACTTATTCCCTTGTGCCGCTGTGTTCCCCATCTTCGCCCTTTTCTGCCAAGCACTCGACCTTCCCTTTATTTTCCTATTCGCCAGACCGGTCGCCAATGGCGCCGTGTATCCTACGCCTGCTTTCTTCTCGCAGCACATCTTCACACCCTATACCCATTCCTACCCTTCTGAACAAAGTCTTCCATCTGCCTCCCCCCTCTCCAAACATTCTGAACGCAAGGTAGTAGCTTTCCCTCATCTGTTGTCCTTCATTCTGCACGCTGCTGCCCCTCATAGTCATGTCCTGGTCTCTTCTTTCCCTGTCCATCCCGAAAAGTGTTCAGGCACACGCCCTACCTCCCTTCACAAGCTTCAGCATCAGAAGTCTTTGTTGCCTCATTGCCACACCTTCCTACTCCACTTATGGCCCTGGGATTGCTCGTGTGCTATCAGGCGGGGTTGTTCGGAATTATTGTGTCCGCGCCGTGTAGGTTTTGGCTCTGCGAAGATGAGATGGCGGGTCGAGAGGCGACGGTGTGCAGATTGGATGGTGGAGGACGTTGGAAGGCGAAATGCGCGCGACGATCGTGGTGAATACGTGGGGAGAGCGACGAAATGGCTGCTATTTGGCGTTAGCTGATGCTGTCTTTGGATTCCAGGCCACGCCAGTGTTACTCTCTCGCAGCTACTCATGTGACATGTTCATATGTGATTTACTCTTGGCTGTTTCGTGCGGGTTTAATCGCTCATAGTATCTGTTTCGATAGTTCGACTCGGAGCCGCGCCTTGTTGTACGGTTCGCATGTCCGGCCAGCGCGAAACGTCGGTCGCAGGCTTTCAAGCAGGGGGACAGCTGCCGCTATGATGATTTTCTCTAGTGATACGTCAAAGTGGTCAGCTGCTCTGCTGTTCCCTGTTATTGAGAGTATGGTATGAGATCATCTCGTTCTATTGACATACTAACTTGTGCCGAGTGGCTTTCGGCCATCAAGGCGAGCCAGCGTAGCGCTTGACACTGCGCTACCGAGCCACCATGTTATCGCACACATGAATTTGGTAGTCTCAACAGCAAAGTTGAAGTTTGTCTGGCCAACTGATTGCGATTGGGTAGGCGTATCATCCCGTCCTCCCCAACTCAATTTGCGCAACGATGCATATCTTCATCCCACCTGCTCTGGCCTCGGTGATAGGGCGCACAAATGAACGCCTATTAAGAAGGTACGCCACGGTATCGTGTTCTGTCGTTTTGTCGTTTTGTAGAGTTGCGTCGGGTGCTGCCTTCTGCCCTTTCCAGGGCAGCTTGCACTACGAGTATCTCTTCGCCGCGCTTCGGATTTTGGTGTTATCGCACCGGAGCTCATGAATCGTCATGTCTCTATAGTTAGATCTGATCTACGCAGAGGCAGAGAAAGGGTATAGCGGGCCAAGACGGAAGTCAAACGTTTTGTCGGCTATCTGTCGGTGGGAAAGGCACACCACGAGAAGCCGAAGCGACAGTACTGTCGAGGCGAGGGTCGTATCTAGAGTTGGGGACTCTTTGAACCTTCCCTTGGTTGTCGTCGTGCTAAAGAAAAAGGAATGAACTGGACCGGACCGTTGAGCGTGTCGTTCTGTGTAGAGCCCGGGCGCTGAGCGACGACACCGATAAGCCGTTAGCAGCAGGGCTTGATAGTCACTGGAAGACGTACATGATATTGGATACTGGTTTGAAACACTACTGCTTGCGTGAGTTGAAGTAATATGCAGGTTGTATGGATAAGTGGTGTTGGCTCGTTAGCGTGGAAAACAAGATATCAATTTGTTCTACTCTTTTACCAATGAGTCAGTAGGCAAATGTCAACACGGCAACACTGAACGGTACCGGTTCCTCAGACTATACTTCGAGGTATTATTACGACGCGAATCATGGAATCAAATGAATTCAACAATTTCTGAAGGCCTCGCATGTTTCAGTGGAGAAAATGAAGTCAGGGCACGTTGTTGTGGAAAAGGCATTCGCTCACTTCTTGCCGGACGGTGATTTACCAGTGTTATAATGTACACAGCAGGCGGAGAAGGCAGGTAGATAGAGTACCGAGCCAGGACCTACCTGCTGTCTAATTGATCTAGCTCATAGACGTGGGAGCTTTGGACATTGAGACCCCAGAGCTCTATGAAGTCTTGATGGCCATGCAAGCGCAAGCGCTGGTTCTCGCAATCCGCATAGATTCTCTCCTTGCTTCACCAAATTGACTTGCAACCATTTTTTGGATCCTGGACTTTGTCTCTTGTCGCTAAGGCCGTGATGGCATAGCCTGTGGCGTGGTAGTGTGACGTGGTCGGAAATAATCTAGGATACGTTATTATTGATCATAGTGTTTGCAAGTAAGAAAAAAGCAGAATTGTAAGGGAGGGAAATCAACGCCCTTAACATTCTCAGACTTTCCAAGGGCTTTGCTAAAACATTCGTCATAAACCCAAAAAGCTTTCGGGCCTAAGTGTTGAAAACTAACATGGGCTCATCATTGAGTGTTGGTAGATAGGCCGCCCCAACGTGCAAGTGTTTGAAGGGACCTGGGGAAGACTTAGCTTGTTTTGGCAATTGGGTACGTGATCTGTCCAGGCGGTAGCGCTGACGGTGAAGGGGTGGCAGTGGAGTAGTCGGCGAAAGAGCTGTACTGGGTTAACTGTGTGCATAGAGAGATATTCGAGAGATTGGCTTAAGATGCCCTCAGAAAGTGCTTTTTATCATGAGATCAATAACTACAACTGCCGATACGACAGTCATCTTGGGGAGAGGACCAGTGGACTGTAAGCCACGCAATATGGGAAGTAGAGGAGTGGAAGAGGGAGACTCAGCTTAATGGAGTACCTAGGTAGCGGATCGTGGCGAGTGTTGCTGAAGTTCAAGGAGATAGAGAACGGTGAAGAGCTTACAAGTGACTGAGGACAAAACAAGAGGGGAGGGAACAATATTGGAAGCTAACCGAATCGTGGGTCACGACGTCAGGTCGCGGTGTTTGTCGCTCATAACAGTGCGGCCGCGAGGACAAATTGCTGTGCAACACATCTCATCACAACAGTAAGAAACCTTTCGATTCGAATGCTATCATAGAGACTAGATGATCTAACCTTCTAGTCATCACACACAGATACAAATACACAATGGCAGCTCCTCTTCCCCGCCCTCGCATCGCCAGCACGCTCATCGCTGAGCGCGACGGCCTTGAGCAAGACATCCGAAACAACAACGCAGCAATCGAACAATGGGCCGTCTTGCCAAGGTGGAACTGGCAGGAGCTTCAAGTGGCGCGAATTCTGGGGCGACGCCTCGAACGCGAGGTCATTCTACTCACCATCGAAATCGACATTGCCTTGACGCGAGAGGTGGCCAACATGGAGTGGCTCATGTCACTAAGCCAAGTAAGCTCTCGAATGCCTGTCGATTTCCCAACACATCAATTGACTCATTTGAAGGAGGAATTGTGCACTCGCCTGCAGCTTGCCTGGCGAGCGGTCTTGTCCCGGAAGGCTCGTATACCGTAGAAAGAATGAGGAAGGGGACGATGACGAAGAGCAACCGACTTGATTATCAGACTACTTAACCATAATTACTATCCCCTTCAAGATGTCATCATGTAATGCAATGCACAGAGTTGTGACCTGCAGGTGACTACGTGGATTTTACAGCGCTCAGTCCTAGCTAGTTTGAGTGAACGTTCTCTCCCTGCCACGCCCACATCCATTGTGAGACTAAGCAAACATCCCTAGTCGCTTTTGTATTGTTGTTTGGTCTTGTATGATTGAAGGGAAAAGTCGGCGTGCTGGGCGGTTGAAGCTTTGGTGGGCGATGCGGCTGTCTGCAGAGACATCAGTAGACGTGACATTTGCGCGTACGCATACGGCTTTCTAGTAGTTGGCACTCCATATGATAGATTCTTCTGATTTGCTGTGACTTGTTGTTGTCATAGGGTGCTGGCCGGTGGAACAGCAGCTTGGATTTTGGCCGTGACAGTGGCGAGATCAGTGTACCTGGGTAGGCGAGCGGGAAAGGTGTATGAATGCGCTCATGAATACTGTTGGCATTGATGGAGCACACGTTCAAGGAGTTTCAAGAAAGGCCGCACGCCATAGCGAACATGTACGTGCTGACAACAACATCTGATGTTGTTATTGCAAAATGTACATAGGTAGGACGCGTCACTGCTAGCTATCAACACCTCAATGTCCGATGACGGCCAATACATCCCAGTACATCTACAATAACGCTGCGAAATTTTCATCAGACTAGTATAAAACCAAGTCCGTCCATTAGACATGAGAAACGTAGCTCATGCGATCCGCAAATGCTACCTATCATGAAGCAACTATGGCTAGCACAAAGTATCAACCAAAGACAGTCAAGAACACATAAACAAAGTCTAGATAATGAAGAAAAGATCTCTTCTTCCTCAAGTAACTCGCAAGCGAGAAGACTTAATGAAAAAGGTCGCGTCAGCCAGAGGCAGTGTAATACTGGCAACACTGTGCCAACGAGTATAAACAAGTTCAGTGACTCGTCGGCTGATTCAAAAAATTGTTGGGGAAGGTCGAGGCAGGCCGCACACGTCGGCACTCCCTCAAGACCTGGATAACGAGAGGAGAAGGGATGGGTGAGAGGGGGTTCATATGCTCCTCGTCTGCTGGGCACGCTAACGTGCACATGACCTGGAGATTATATTTTCCGGGCTGAGCATTGTTGGGTATGGTTAATCTTCGGCAGTTGCTGGAGGCACCGGTGGTGAGAGGGTGTTGTGGCTTATGGCCGCACTCAGATCAACGTCCGTGCCTTGTTGGCTGTGTAGAGTCACACTCTTCTTGCCCTCCATTGCAAGACCGCTACGTCCTTTTACTTAATCTCTCGCTCCGAAGAGCACCTGTCTTTGAGAACACATAAGACGCTGTTTTGGCGTTGCGCGGTGACTGGCTAATGAGGACTTTGCCGAAGCTTACGACGATTTGTGGTTCGGTCTGGGACTACCTTTGGGCTCAGCCCTAGATTTAAGACTCAGTTTCTGTGCTCCATGTCACTTCTTTTCATCGTGTTTTCTGGCTTGTCAGTTGCTTGAGGAAGATCGAAAGGGGCTGCAATGTTACTCTACATCATGTCCCATGGCTCGGGGCTCTCTAGGTACTTTGCCGATAGCAAACGACACGAAGCGCGGCTTTTTGGTCGAGATTTAACCTTTTGTTTTAGCCGAGCCAGCAACTGATCTTCCTCGTTCGGTGCTCCATGGTAACCTCAAAGCCATTGGCGCATACCACACAGGCGCAGAACAAGAGTGAGACAAAAGCTATCCGAACCTGTCTTATTGTGGTGTATCCACACCATCCTCTCATCGCCGCCACATTTCTGAGATCCAGGATTCTCGCCGTTCATATACCAAGTCAACAGTGACTGTCGAGCTTGACACGGCGGAATGCGGCCAGGAGAAGGAGGTCGTGACGAACGGACGAAAGAGGAATTCTGCGAGAGAAAGCAGGCTTAGCTACCAGCCGTCCTCTCCCAGTATAGTTGCATGCCTCACACAACATGGAAGTCTTCAGGCTACGATTGAAAGAAGGATATGTCAGTTCCGGGACTAAGAATTGGCTGATCTACACATAGTCCAAACTGTTTATATGACTCCTCGCTTACTCCTCCAACCAGTCTGCAGCGCTACTAATAGCTTTGCTCACAATACCAACCCATCTTCTGACACTTTCCTCGTTGCCCTCTTCTATGGCTTCAACGATACCAGGGAACGTGGCACCTGAATAGCCGGTCCATTTCCCAGGAGCAAAGACGACGTGCTTGAACCAGCTTCGTCCATCCAGGCCATCAGGGAACAAGAACTTCCTCTCCAGGTATTTGTACTTGGTGTTGATCGCACGGATGGCAAGGTACAGCTGCACCTTCTTCCAGGGCTGCCACCAGGGTATATCGCCAATGTTAGAGTATTGGATTGTGAGGTTAGAGGCGGTAGCATCATGGAGGGTAGACGTGAACTGGAAGTGGGACACGGCTTCATCGAGAGTTTGCCAGAATTCGCCAAGGTCTTTACTAGGTGCGGCATCATGTGCCTTCTGTTTGACAGCGTCAACGTACTTCTGCAAACCGATGGCGTAGTCTGTGGCGTTGAGCTGGAGAACAGGTGTCTCGATGAGCTTTGCTGCTACAAGTGCCCAAACCTTTGCTATCGTAGCGTGGTACTCAAAGGTCGGATCTCCAAACTTTTTCATCCAGTCGAACGAATCGTAGTTGCTGTGGTAGTGGTAGACAGCAGATTTGGGATCGCCACCAAAGCCCATGTCGATACTTGGAATGCCAGCGAAATCTTGGAAGGCGGTGAAGTCACTGCCGGAACCCATGGTTTCGATGCGCTTGTCCCATACATCGTACACAGATTGACCGGCGATTGTCTGGTTCGGGGATTTGACCACGTGCGCTGGCATATGTTAGCTGAGTCGGATTAACAGGGTATAAAAGCAAACTTACCAGCCTCCTCAACCACCCTACTCAGCAAGGGCGCCGCTGACAGCTTGAAATCCGGACCGACTGATCCAACATCGACATTCAAATATGCGACTGTCGAACCAGAGAGCCAGGGCAGGTACTCCTCTACCCACTCAGTGCTTCCAACCAAGCCGTACTCCTCGCCGTCCCAGCTCGCAAAGACAATTGTCCTCATAGGCTTCCAGCCAGCCTGCATAGCAGCACCGAAGCTTCTAATGACCTCATTGAGTGCTGCGCTGCCGCTGTTGGGATCCCCAGCACCGCCAGCAATCCAGGCGTCGCGGTGGTTGCCAAGAACAATTACTTCGTCGGGAATGGTGCCATTGATGATTCCGATAACGTTCCACAGGGGCGTCGTGACGTACTCCTGCTCGTTGACCAAGTTCAGGACTAAATGGTCGGGCGAAGGTCCAACATTGTATTCCACGCCCATGTAGTCCAGCCCGCCACCGTGCCAATGCGCGTCGAAGGTCGAGGCTTTCGGGCCGTGGCCGTTGAGCGCTTTGAGAAGGGGAAACGCGTCGAGGTAGGAGATGGGAAGTGAGGGGATGTGCGGCATGGCGTGGTCAACGGGCTGACGGGGGCAGCCGGGCTTTGATGGATAGCCTGGAGTGGTAGGATCACCTGGTGCGAAGCCTAGGCATTGTCAGCATGGTATAAGAGAAGGTCAGGTAGCAACTCACTCAGAAACTGGACGCTTCCTCGCTGGACACTGCTGGGTTCTCTGGCCGGCCCGTTGGGGTATGTCGCAAAGCCGTTCTTCTTGGTCACCTCTCCATCATCACCAGGATCGGTGTACATGGCGACGCCGACCATGCCCAGTTCTTGCGCGCGCTTGACCTTTAGACCGCGGAAGACGCCACCGTACTTGGCCAGGGCGATCTTGCCTTCTAGACTAATGTTTGCCGCCTGCAGCTGCTCAAAGTCTTTGTATGTTCCGTAGTTGACGAAGACGTATGGCGCCGTCACATTGCCCGAGGCGCTGTATCCGTGGAAGGTGGGCACACGATCAGCGAGTTGACTTGATTCATCCCCATCTAAGACGTCTTCCTCCAGTCGTGCTTCGTATTTGACCTTCCACTCTTGGCCTGTAGCTGTGGCGCTGTCTGCCATGTCGTCTGTGTGCCCGGTGCTCTCCATAAGGGCTAATCGGTGGCCCTTGGGGTAATTGATGTAGACATCGTAGTCAACGATGGTGCTTTCGACTCCCCATTCCTGCCATCTTTCCCTGGTCCACAGCGCCTGGCTGAGGTTCTTGCCTGCAAGGTGCGGCCCGCTCGTGTAGTATCTGCTCCACTCCTCTGCTTTTTCGGCATTGGGTGTTTCCAGCAGCGACTTCTGCAGGTCTTGGAAGTCCAGGGCCGATTTTCGTGCCCATCCTGCGGGTATCTGTGAGGTTGATAGCGAAGATGTCGAAAGTCGCGATGCAGGGGCTAATTCGTCTTGGCTGGGCGGCGCAAAGCTGAAGATGAAGATTGCAGCGAGTCCTCCTACGACTATGGTTGCGCTGAGCAAAGTAGTGCATATAAAGCGTAGGCGATGGTGTGGGTAACGGTCGCGATGGGGTCTGACGTCGACGCGTTGAATCAGCGGCGTGCTTTCGTCGGCCATGGTGACTGGCTTCTCATTGCTCGCCGGGAGCTGCATGTACAAACAAGACGACTTTCGTACGCCTAACCCGAGGCTTTTCGGACGGTAGTTGAGATAAGAGACAGCTGCGCAGAGCTATGCCGTGGCACCAGTGACAGCTCGGCTTCGATGGCGTCACATACTTATCTGATCCTATCTTAGCGCGCATGTCATGTCAGGGGTCCAGGGAACCGCCGAACGGGTCGCTAACCACGACCCCGTCTTGTCACTCGTGCAGAGCATCACACATTTTGCAAAACACCTTCATCACGACTCACCTCACAATGTTCGCCAAGTTTCTCTTTATCCGTAGCCTGGCTCTTCCGTCGACCAACAAGAACATCGTGAAGCCAATCTGTTGGACAAGTGTGACAGCGTCGTGGTGACAATGGCAGATACACTGGGTGATAGCGTGTAAGTGAGCTTTTATATCCATGCAAATCCCTTGTGCTCCTCCCAAAAACTGCAAATTATTCTCAAATCACATCACAATGGACGCTTCTCGAGTCGAAGCTCCGCAGCTGATGGGAGTTACGGGCGACTGCTGCGCGTCTTGCAGGTCGACCACCATTCCCCTGTACGCCCTCCACTGTCATGAAAGCGGCGACTTCTACTGCCGTGACTGCCTTACTAAAGAATTCCATTCTGCTGGTCCAAACGATCAGACCATACGATGCCCTCACCCGACCTGCCGTCGCTCGATTGGCTTCAAGTCGCTAACTCCTCTCGGGCAACATCTTCATCTGAACAATGACTTTTACGATCGCGAATGTATCGATGACATCCGTCAGCGATCGGAGGTCATGAACAACTTGGTCGCCTTCACGGGCGAGGAGGCTGAGGTTATCTTACACCATGTCTATAGTATGTTCGAGG